CCCTTTGGCAAGTGTTAGTGTTGTTACTGGCTTTTTGGAAGTGTCGAGTCGGAACTTGGAGTAATGGGCAACATAGTACCTAACTAGTTTAATATTTTATTTTAGTATTTACTAAATTTTTTGTTTTTTTTTAATATAATAGATTATCGATTTTCGAACTACGTATCACTCGACTATTTGCCTACGAAAGATATATTACTCCTATTACAATCGACTTATATATTGGAGTCAGGTTGTGGATACGAATTAATTAAATACACCAACGAAGGTTTGTGAACATTTCGAAAACGGAAGGTTGCTACTGGAGGAGGAATTGGTGGAGCAAGAATCATCACCTGCGAAAGAGATATATGCACCGCAGCCGAAATAAATATCCACGATGTTTCGTATGTACTTTCCATAATAGAGCAACTAGTTTAATATTTTATTTTATTTTAATTTTACTAAATTTTTTTTTTTTTTAAAAAAAAAAATAGATATTAGTTTTGAACTGGAATAAGGCAAAGGAGGTTGTTCATACCCCTAATTACTCGGAACAAGCCTTTCTAGCCTCTATCGATGCCTCCATTATTATAATATATTATTTGACAAAGGAAAGGCGAAAGAGGTTGTTGAAGAAGATAAAGCGAAAGAGGCTGTTAATAAAGGAAAGGGAAAAGAGGTTGAATTTGTCTTAAAAAATTGAATATTTTGATGTAATTAAATTCAATATCTAAAATGTCTAAATAAACTCTTTGAATTATTCGAATAAATAAATAAATCTGAATTATTTCTCTTTTTGATCTTGCAAGTTTCACGTTAATCAAAATCCAATAATAATGTACTTGATTTTGATAGTAATAAAGATTGATCTAAGACTTTCAATAGAATATTACGCTTAATTTTTTATAGAAGTTAAATTGTAGTAAAGATGAAAAATTTAATAAGATAAAATGTATTAATTGACTTTTAATAAAATGAATAGTTTATCGGTTAAAAAGTATTAATAGCGATAGTATGTAATATATTTAATAAAATAAAATTAACAATTTCACATGCTATAGTAAATGGTTAATGTTCGATAAAATTGTCAAAAATTGTTTAGTCATTCACACAAGGTTTATTTATTCAATAGCAAAATTTTGTATTAAAGGACTATTTAAAGAAACACGTAATTATTGCAAAATAACATTTGCGAAATAATTTATTCTTTACGTGACGTGTAAGATGATTACATTTATTAATTTTGTTAAAGCTTTTTAGCCATTTTGACCAGCGATGTATTTTGTTTCTCCCAATGGAGACGATATTTGCATTTTGTCCAATGGGAATTGGGAAGAATTATTAAAGCCGTGAGGAGGCAACTACCTCTCATCGTCTAAACGTCTACACCTACGATTTTATCAACTGCTTCACATTCTTGAATTTCAAAAAATAAAAATTTTCCATCCTCTGAAATTGTTTGTTTACCTTTCTTAATAACAATTCTTTTTTTAAACAATGGAGCATTTAATACCATACTATGATATTCGCCCATTTCACCACATCCATCTACATCTTGCTTTAATATAACATTTTCATATAAATCTCTTGTAAGGATATTTCCAACCAATTTTCTGGCAACTTCTTCTTCGACTTTTTCTAAATTTACACAACTTATCAAAACCTCAAATTCTAATTTGAATATTTCTTCAATTAATTCTGTCCTTTCACGTTCCCAGAGTGGGCGTACTAATTCGACATCTGTACCTTCAACTACACGATCCATAAACCGGTTACAAACATCAAGAATATCACCTGTTGCTAAAACATCAGTGTTACATGAAATGATTAGAGAACGATATGATTCTACATATGGAGGGGTGACAGATAAAAATTGATGAGGAAGAGCAAGAGCCAAGGATTGAAGTTTTATCAAATGCTGCGGATGAGCGAGAAACGGTTTAGTAGTCACAGGAGTAAATGTTATAAGTGAGACGATATTATATTTTTCAGGTTGAGCGGATAATAGATGTAGTGTTAGAGTACAGTCTTTGCCACCTGGGAACTTGCAGCCATTAGAATATTACAGTTGGGAAAGCAACTAAAGAGCACATGACTATACCTGTATATGAAAGACATACTTTCTTCGGTTGGGAAGTTACCGATAACGATTCAGTCATTTGATATAACTACAAGAAAATGGAAACCATTATAGGTGCATATGAAAATTTTAATTTAAATTTTAGAGACGATTTACTTGTGCCAGTAATGCAAACCCTAGAAAAGTGACTTGTGCAACGTATTCCTATGATCAATTAGTGATTCAGGCCGATAATCACACAGCAATAGAGCTAATTAATATGTCAGGTGATGTATGCTATACTATATAAAGATACAAAGATTAATTGCCGGCATTCACATCATAACCTGATTAAAAAAATCAGCTAACGCTAAGCTAGCTAAGCCGATAAATTTGGAACTGTTCATTCTGAAGATCTAGCAAATGAAATTACTAAGTAAGCATACAAATCCTTGGAGAAGCATCAGCCGAATGGTTTTAGCATAAGTACTGCTCTAAATCATTCTCACAATATTATTGTTTCATGTGAAAAACAAATCAAAGATAGTGTTATCATTATTTAGGCAGTATGAGGCTAGCATGTCTGTCCCAAAGCTTCCCAGATTTGTGGTTTGTAATTCTCTAAGATTTATACTAGAGGGAGATCTTTCAAAATAACTTAATTCACAAGAGATACGGCTTGATGGCGAGTCTTTTAAAGCTTTTCAAGCCGATCTTAATCTAACAAAAAAAAAAAAATTTTTTTTGGAATCTTTCTTTCCTACCATCAACTCACCAACTTAAAATTTTACAAGGATTACTTAATTGCGTGATGCTGATTAAAATTTGTATGAACGATAATGATATCCAGCTCACCGATATTGAAATTTTTAGCAAGTAGATATTGGAACGTCATTGGAAACATTTTCTCCCTTCTTTCTAGACAAAATAGTAAACGTATAAGTTTTACGGTTCTCTCAAGTCCCTAATGAATTAAAGTATCTTGATATCTTGGCAACCGATGTAAATCAGGGGCTGGAATATGTACGTACGTTTTTGTGCACAAAACTGTGGTTTTGGGTCAAAACCCCGACAAAAAAATCCTGGAAAGGTCAAATCCCGACAAGTTAATCTGCATTAGCTATAATTTTAGTCAATTTTTGGCAGGATTCTGTTTGTCTGTCGGGACTTTGACCTAAAACCAATAAGAATATGAATGGTTACTAATCTCCTACTATCGTTGACAATCGAGTTCCTTTAGTATTGACTAAACTGTTTTGGATAATTAGTCTTCCATTTACTACTGTTATAGTTGTTAGACGAAACCTTTTTCGCATGGTGACGAAAGACGAAACCTAAGAACGAAACCTCTGACGAAAGTTGAAACCCCAAATTCTTATTCTTCTGATGAAAGACGAAACCTTAATCTTAAAATGACGAAGCTTTATGCTCAAAAAGACGAAATACTAGTGCTCCCACTAAAAAAATAAAAATAAATATTATTTCATTAAATTAACATTCATAATTTAATTTATTCGGAGATCAGTATCCGAAATTACATATGTACCAGCAAAAATAAACCAGTTTATTTTTCTGGACAACGCTAGGGTTGTTATAGACCGGTTGAATAACCTTGTCAAAAAGCCATAGTAATCATGGAATAACACAAATAATGAATTAAAACATACTGGCACAAAATAAGATCACAAAGTAAGCACCAAGCGAAGTGTACTAGTATAATCAGTTTCGTCACATTTCGTCATTTAAGATTTTAATTGACGAAAGACGAAACCAGGTTTCGCGTTTCGTCAGCGCGAAACCTCGAGGTTCGTCTAACAACTATAACTACTGTAACGAATAATTTTCCCCATGTCTCTCATTTCCGTATTTGTATACTTCTTTAAACTGTCACTTACCTTCCGTAATTGTACCATCATTGTCATCTTGCCTTTAGTATTATGTATTTTTTGTGGCTTTTAACAGGTGAATCGCGCATACACGCATACACGCGTATACGCGATTACACAAATTTGTAAGCATTGCGCCTCGAAGAAAATATGAGATTTACAGCGTAAGTGTCGAGATTTCTGTTTTGACATTCCGTAAAATTAAAAATGTATATAAGAGCGTGTCTTCATCCTAAGTTGAGAAAAACATTCACTCTCCAAATTCCTCTCTAAAATAAAGATTAATAAATTCACATTCTTTTTATGCTAAATGCCTAATAAATCATAAATATCCGAATCCCATAATTTATTGTCTGATCCTCTAACCTCAACCATCGGATTTAAACTTGCATGGAAGTACTTCCCTTTACGATGGTTACACTACTATTGATTCAGAAAGTTAGCCAGGATATCAAACTGATAAACGATAACGATAATGCTGTAATTCTTAATCAAACATGATTTGTTAAATCAATACTCAGGACTATTAAAATCACACTAATAAATAAATCAATCAATCAAGATAATATCTTCTACACGGATTTTCCGCACATTGGATTGTGTTTTATGCTTTGATTCGAGAATACTACCCAATGGTCGACTTTAAAAAGTTACCAAATCGCGTTGAAAATCTTAAGGAAGCGCTTGACCCAATTGCTAGCAAGGCATTTTATTAATGCATAGTAGTAAAGCAAAATAAGTAAATAAAGAGATGATGAGAACTTAGAAATCAAATCACAAGTAATCGACCTTGCACCATTTGAAGAATCACATACTAACTTTTGCGAAAAAATAACAAACGAAACACTGGAAAAAATATAAGACATCAAACAAAATTACAATTTGAACGCGTAAAAAAATTTCACAATTTCAAATTTTCAAAATTACATTTTTATTTGTATGATAATCAAAAGCTCCGACGTGATAAGTTTGAAAAATAGGGGAGTTGGAGGAGTATATTGGTGATATGGAAGGTATGGTAATAGAAAGAGTAGACAATATTAAAAGCAGGATCATATTAATAATAAATATACTATTGGAAATACTTCAAATAATAATACGTTTTTTGAAATATTTAAATTCTACGCATTCTTGCGATTTTAATAAGAGCGAATTTAAATTGTACATATAGAGGGTTAGTTTTATTGAGTTGATGGTATTTATTGTGCATTCCGAAGTTAAGTGCAAGTAGAAAGGTTATGAATAGAATATAATAGATTATGGGCAAGAGTTGAAGATTTGGAGAAGAAAGTAGAGAATTTGCAATTTATTACAGAATTGTAAATAGTCTTCTATATACCTTGTTATATTTTTATATTTTTATAATATTAACCGATTTTATACCTTATTGAAGTAAACGTCTACAAAGCATTTTTGCCTTTTGCATGACATTATGAATAATCTTCTACTTTTTTACCTACAGTTATTATGGAGTTGTGATAATGATTTTGCCATTTTTAGTGTTCTTGAGAA